GAAGGTTTGAATCTGCTTGAGTGAATATCAACGGAACTGAGACACTGTAAATCAACTTACAATTCTAAAGCCCAATGCTTTGTTACAGCTGTGAGTACCACAAAACACAATTGCCAATGTACAGCCTTTCCTCTGCCAATTATCTTTGGGATCTGCAGTTTGAACATTGACCCTGCATTACAAAAGCATGCTCAGACTCGGTCATGGTTATTAGAGGAAAACTACTGAAATTATTCAAACCAGTTAAACTAAAATTGAATATCAACTTTTGAGCCAAGATCAGCCAATAGAATATCTTACACTTTCTTGAACAAGGCTATCCTACCATCCTAAAAATTTTACGAAGAAAAAGTCAGATCACTTGATCTCTCCACATTAATTTGAGGAACATTTCATAAGCACATATAATTTTCAGTGAGAGGCCATCTAATCATATTATCCTAGAAACAAAAATACCATATTCTTTCCTTCTAGTTGGCATTATTGAAGTTTCTTGCAAAGACACTGGATTATGAAATAGAAGAAGGGATGCTGTGTTTCAGATGTAGAAAGGTTCTTCAAGCACCATTAGCAATGACCCTCTTGGTATGTAAAACACAGCTTCTAGAAGAGAAGGCATTGCAGAGTATAAAATATGCAAGCAATTACATGACAATTGACAACTAAAGAGAATCACCCTTCTAGATTTGCAAAACCATGATTCAAGAAAAAACTCAAGAATGCAGAATCGAAGGTGGATTTAAAGATTAGGTTTCCAGGAAGTTAAAGCACATAACATTAACCAGTCTTTAAAATTATGCAAAAATAGATACATACCATACGAATCTAGTCTTGGCTCATCGCAATCTTGTTATTGCATGCTTTGCAGCGAAAACAAGATGCCATGTTTGTCTCTGCCATGCTTGATCAAATGTTTCTGTGGGATATTGTGGCTGTTCTCAAAAAATGGTAGCTAGCAAGAAGAAATGGATGAAAAAACAAAAGTGAACAAAGAAGGCGCACTGGTGGTTTTACATAACCCAAGTAGTTGTTAACCAAGACATTAATACTTATCCATCTCTATCAACCTTTAGTTTATCTAGAAAGAGAATCTTTATCCATCCTAAATCTCTGTCTAACTGCAGGATTTCAGATTTGGCTTATGTCTAACCCGATTTGTCTTCAGCCCCCTTCTTATCATGTCATCATGCAATTCAATGGCCTTGGATAGATCTCCTGCAACACAGCAACCATATATCAAAAAGTCATATGCTAGGGAATCAGGCTTTATACCCTTATCTAGCATAGAGTCCCACAGCTTAGTAGCTTCCTGTAAATTACTCCTTCTACAATGCTCATAGATTATGGTGGAATAAGTAATACAATCTGGAAAAATACCATTGTCAGTCATTCCAACTAAGAGTTCTGTGGCCTCCTGAAGTTTTCCCAACTTGCAAAAGCCACGGATTAGCATGTTATATGTTGCTGTGTTTGCTAAAAGCCCTTTAAGAATTGCATCATGAAGCTCCAAAGCTTTATCCATATTTCCTCCCTTAGTGAGATGATCAACAAAACAACCATATGTTATCTGATTGGGAGGAGTATCGCTGACCAGCATTTCTTTACAAAGAAGCTCCGCTTTATCCATGAGTCCTGCCTTACATAAGCCATTTATTAAAGCAGTATAGGTCACAACATTTGGAATGCATCCCTCACCAACCATTACATTCCAAAGCCCAAATGCCTTCCTAAGATTTCCAGCTTTACTGTTTGCATCAATCATGCTTGTATATAAAACATTATCAGGACTAAATCCCAGATCATCCATCTCCTTCAAGAGACCCCAAAACTTTCTAGTATCATGCTCTCTTAGTGTTCCATCAATAAGAATGGTGTAACAAACAAGATCCATGTCCACGCCTCTTGCTACCATCTCACAACAAGCACCCAATGCATCCTCTAGTCTTCCTTCCTTGCAGTAACCATGCAAAAGTGCACTATAACACATTTCATTCAACTTACAATCATCTCTATGAAGGCCATCCACAAATTCTCTAGCCTCAGAAACTCTTCCAGTAGAGCAGAGACCACTTATTAGAGGCCTATAGGTATATGTATCTGGTACAAGACCTTTCTCAACCATTTCATCGAGCAACTCGAAGGCTTTTACTGTGTTACCTTCCTTACAGTGCCCCTCGATCATAACATTATATGTCACCTCATTTGGCTTAATATTTCTTTCTACCATTTCATCAAACAATATTATTGCCTCAGCCATCATATTTGCTCGACAAAGGCCAGAAATAAGGGCAGTAAATGTATAAGTGTTTGGTGCAATGCCCTTCCCTGTCATCTCATGATAGAGCCTAAATGCCATGTGCAATTGCCCTTTATTGCAATACCCTCCTATTAATGATGTGTAAGTTACCACAGTTGGCTCTAATCCTTTATTAATCATCTCATCAAAAATGGACTCTGCTGAACTCAAATTCCCTAACCTGCAGTACCCACTTATCAAGGAATTGTAAGGATAGACTGTTGCTATTATTCCTGCATTGGTCATTCTCCCAAGAAAAGAGAGCGCAACATCAATTTGCCCCCTTCTACAAAATGAATCTATCAAAATAGAATAAGTGACATCATTTGCATACAAACCCTGCCTTTCCATTTCTTTAAAAAGTGCCTCAGCTTCATCAAATTTACCATTCTTGCATAATGAATTGATCAATGCATTGTAGACAAACAAATTAGGTGCTACCC